GGAGCGCGGGGCTGGAGTCCCGGACGCGGACTTAGCGGGCAGGGGTGTTCGGGATTGGGGTCCCGGGCACGGACCTGGCGGGTGGGCGAGAGGCCACTGGGGAGCCAGCTGAGGTCCTGGCAGTGTGGACAGGGGTCCGGGGTGTGGGGTGTGCGAGGCGCATCCTCCACCTGCGTGGGGGCTGTGGCATCGCTGAGGGGTGTCTGGCGAAGACGCCCCTCCCCAACATGATGTCATCTTGAGCAGTCTGCCCGTCTTTCTAGTAATGGTGCATTTAACCCAGCATTTTCCAAAATAGCGTGGATTTTCACTGGGAGTGGAAATAGCAGCACCCGTGTCTTGCTGTGAAAGCAGCTCTGACCCAGGTTCTGGCGGGTTATTAGGCCCTGGTTAAAATGACTCCTTCCTCAGGGAATCTGGACAGGCAGTGGGGTGTGGGTGGGATGGCTGTGGGGGAGCTGCTCTACCTGCTGTCTGATCAGGGACAGCGTTCTTAGGGACACATGTCCTCTCAGAGTGGAAAAATCCACACCAAAAGGTGAAACGGGCTGGGAGGCCAGTGGGTGCATGGGTCCACCAGTAGATTTGGCTTTGGTGTGCAGAAACTCCCGTTGGTTGTCAAGGAACGTTCTCTTTATTTAGTTACAAAAAATAAACACAAAGCTGGTTTGTTGGTCGATTTCATTTTTTGTTATCCACCAGGTATTTGACTGGGGGTTTGCTGCGTGTTTTGGAAGGATGATTGTAACTTCACCTCCTGGTAAATGCTACTTGTGCTGAACCCTCCCGTGACCTCCTCAGCTCCTCACACGGCTGTGGAGGACACAGACTGTGGAAGGGAGCTTGGGTCCCTTCCCTTCCTCAGCAAGAAATTGGTGTGGAAGCACTGCCTGAGGTCTGTGCTTCTGCAAGTAGGGCAGTAGCCTCGTTTTTCTCTTCCTTTGCTGTGTAATGTAATTTCCAAGACAGTAACCTTCATGATTATAACGCATCTTGTAGAGATGAGTGTGTGTGTGTGCTGCCAATTCAGGGCACCCCTGGGCTGAGGCTTAGCAGCCTTACACTAGCTGTGACGTCTGTCCTTCCGTTTTGGTAGCTCACTGAGATTGAAATCCATTTTCTCTGACGACTGGTCACCTGCGTGCTGGACGCGTGTTCTGTGCTGGGTCTGCCACATAGCTAGGCCCTGGCTTGTTGACTGACTGTGCAGACAGGCTTTCTCCACCCCTGCACTGTGACATTAGGCGCCAGTCACATGTTGTGTGGAGCTGTCCTGTGCTTCTTAGCTTCCCTGGCCTCCCTCTGGCTTCTGAATGCTTCAGCTGTGACAACCAAAAATGTTTCCAGCCGCTGCCCTGCAGGGCAAAGTTACCTCCCCCTCCCCCTTTGAGAGCTACTGGTGTAGATCAGTGAATGAGACAATTTCTTCCCTGAAGGAAGATTTGCCTAATCCTTGGGGCGGGGGGGGGCATTGCAGGGGGGACGGGGAGAGGGCACGTCAATATTTAGCATGGCCCCTTCTCAGAAACAGCTTTCCCACCTTGCCGTCCTGTGAGCCCCTTCCTTCAGAGCTGGGTCGGCAGTTTGTGCGCCGGGAGCTGTCCGCGGTGGGGGCCACGCCTGCCGTGTCACCCCTCCCCTGCTAGAGACCTCACCTGGAGAGGCTGCTGGGGCCGCCTGCTACAGGGCCTTGGTGTGTGCGGGGCGGCGGGCGCCACCGTCACATTCTTACCCTGCTGTGGGCTGGTGGCTGGATGTGAGCTTGGAAGGCAAACCCAGGTCAGAGCTGGTCTGAGCTTGACCCCTGGCGGCAGGGAGGGGCCCTTGCTTCCCCAACCCCTGCCCGCCTCTGATTTTGTGTGCTGGCTGTGCTCCTGTTGTGATGGTGGTCAATGTAGCTGGACTGTGTGGGGAGAGGGCACCAAGCTGGCCGCAGGGGCTCGGACCCTCTGCCTCTCACCGGCCCCGTGACCGACTGGAAACCACGGCCCCAAGCCTCAGTCTTGTCACCTGACAGAGGGGTGGGCTTTGAGCTGACGTGTCACTGGAGTCTGGTCGGCCCCATGCCTTTCCGCGCTGCAGTCCCTGCAGCCCCCTCCGTGCCTGAGCTCTGCTGCTCTCTGCCCTTCCCGTCAGGGTCTTGACTGGGGACCTGACCCCTCAGCGCTGGCACTGGCACCGAGTGTGTGCCCGGGTTCCAGAGGGCCTTGTGCTCCTGCTCCGTGTGCCACAGGGGCCCGTGTGCCACAGGGGCCCGTGCGGCTGCTGGGGCCCGGGTACTGAAGCAGTGCAGGGCCTCGGAAGATTAGCTTGATCCTTTTTGCTTGATCTCAGCCTGGGGGCCCCGAATTTGGCTGATACGAGTTCAGTGTGTGGGACTTCATTAACTGTTTCTTGTGCTCTTTTTCAATTTTATTTAGTCCCAGTTTTAAAATAATTCTTCATTTTGAAATAAATTTAGATTTATAGGAATTTGCGAAGAAATGGATTGGAGATCCCAGCGTTCCTTACCCGCCTCCTCAAAGGTGGGCAAGCAGGACATTCCAATGCTAGGAAACTGACACTGGTGCAGTATGCCAGGCGTGGTCACCTTTCTCCAGTTTTATGTACACTGGTGTCTGGTGTGTGTGTGTAGGTTTGTGTACTCGGGTCACATACAGCATCACGTAACCCCCATCCTGAGTCAGGATACAGAATTATTCCACCATCACAAGGCCTTCTTGTGCTGCACTTTATTGCCCTCCCCTCCTCCCCCCACCATGTGCCTCAGCCACTAATCTGTCCTCCATCTCTGCATAACCTCTTGACGATGTTGTGTGAATGAAATTGTGCGGTATGTGACCTGCTGAGATTGGCTTTTTTTACTCAGCACACTTGCTGGAGGTCCATCTAGGCTCTTGCATTGACTGACATTAAAATATTCAAGCAGTTGAGTCAAAGAAAATGAAAGAACTGCTGAAATTGGGGAAATAATAATCACTGGCTATTTATTCAGTTGTTTGGCACTCTTGTTTGCTTTTACACACGTGGTAATATCAGTGGAGGGGCTTGACGCTCTGCCATTGACACGTCAATACTAGACTGTTGTTGAGAACGTCAGACTCAGAGTTGACTGCAGAACCGTCAGGCTGCACTGAAGGGGAGAAGTGATAGGTCTTTATTCTTGTGGGACCGGTCACGCTGCCAGTGGGCAGGAAGTTGCCATTTATTCCTCTGTGCACGTGGCAGCGGGGGCTGCACAGATGGGTTAAGACACTTCCATCGTGCTTGGAGGCATTTTATTTAATCCCTCAGGCACTCACTCAAATGAAGGGAATCAAGTGGAGAGATGTAATTAGCCATTTGGCAAAAAACGAATTTCCCATGTTCTTGGAGAAAGCACGCAATTTTGCTGCAGGCACAATGATAAACGAGCAGGGTCCCCCTCAGTGCTCTGCTGCTTGTGGTCGTCACCCAACTTGGTCCCCTCCGCTTCTGTTAACTGTTGAAATTCGGCACGCCTTTGTGTTAGGTTTTAGAATGACTAAAGTTTAAAACATTTTACTTGTTTGTCAGATTCCATTTGTTATGAGTCATAAATTGGACACGGAGAAACTGAACATAAAATTTTAAATTCAGCTTGAACTTCAGTGTGAAAATGAAACACAAAGTTGGCACTTGATTTTCCTGCGCAGTAATAAAGGTTGGAATCCGAGTTTGTCAGTCTGCTTTTAACTTTAAAAGTTTTTTAAACAACTTAAGGTTCATCTTAGTCTTGACTGTCCATTTAAAAAATGCTGACCTTTTGAAAAGTAAGTGCTGTTCTTGCATATTTTCTCTTGCACTCTTACGCGTAGTTTGTATTCCTTAGAAACTGATTAGGAAGTGTGTGCTGAGGCTGAGGCGAGGGACAGACCACCAAGCTGGAGGAGGAAGGAAGTCTTTGGCCTGGCTGAATTTTCTGCCGAGGTTGGTGGTTGCTGCTTCTGGGAAATAGCTGTGTGTTCTTCCCTGTGTCTTCCTCTGGCTGCTCTCGGGGGTCACTCTGTTTCTTCTACGAGATGTTGAAGTGCCCTGGTGATAAGCGTGTTCTCAGGCCAGGTACTTAGTGTTGCTTCTCTTTCCTCTCACAGTGATTGTCACTGCTGTTTCTGGCATCAGCATGTGTCAGGATTCTGTCGCTGTGGAATTATTGAAAACGCTGTCTTTGTGGGATTAAATGGCATTTCTTGGCTTTACAAAGATCAGAGAGAGTCCGGCATGAGCGTAGGACTCAGGAGGCGATAGGAAAAGGCACTTGTGTTGCTGGATGGAGAGTGGGCTCTGCATTCCTCCAGTGTCACCTGCAGGTTCTTGGGTGTGAGGCCGTCCTGCCTTAGCTCAAATCTCCAAACTTATAAGGCTCCGTAATTGAAAGTCTTTTTGCAGG